GCTAATATATGGGGAGCTATCCAAGGTTTGAACCTAGCTTGGGATTTAGGCTTGAGGAGGGTAAAACTTCGTGTGGATTCTCCGGTGTTAGCTGACATCTTGCTAAGGAGGTCTACCAATTCTCCTAGATATCAGAATATTTTTTTCGTGCATGTCCGTGCTGAGTAGTAAGTGGGAGGTGAAGGTCTGTAAGATCTTCTGGGAAGCTAACCAGGCAGCTGACTCTTTGGCTAAGGGTGCGTTAACTATGCAGCGAGGGATTCAAGTGGTGGAGGTGGCCCCTTCTTCGATTCATGGCCTTCTAGAAGCTGATAGAGTTCGTGCAATTGGGTTTAGACAAGTAGTTTAGCTCCTTGGGTTTTACCCCTCCTTTGCAGTTAAAAAAAATAACAAATTGTATAATAAAATGATCGTAAAATGTATTATGAAATCGTATTTCGTTGAGATATACTGAAAAAGTTACAATACCGACCTTCTTAAATATTCTGTAAATATATTTAGTTTTATGTAATGAAAGTGGTCTAACTTCAATCCATCCTAAAATTTAATCTTTTAATCCCTAATTTATAAATACAGATTCTTAAAACCCTAATAAGTGCCTACAAAGAAAATCAAGTTATCGTTCAATCTCCAACGTACCTCCTGCCCTCAACTCCAAATCAATATCTAATATACAAATATAATGAAAAATAGTAATAAGTTATTTTTACTCCTAGGTAAAAGAAACAAAAGAAATGAGAATATCTGAATTGATAATAGTAATCACTTTAGTTATAGTGGCAGTATTACTTACCCAGTGCATTTGAGAAAGTAATATATGTGCATACACACAAATTCTTGAAACTCTAAAAATTAACACACACACTATTTTCTGTCAAGTCAAACATATTTTGAATATAAGAGAAAAAATATTACGAAAATTAAAAATGCTTAATCATCAAGAGGTCATCTATTTATTTCAATGGAGATATATATCTGTTACTAAATTAAAGTGATATTAGTTAAAATTTAATTTAGTAAAAAAAAATAAAAAATAAAAAATTATTATTTAGAACTCTTTTTATAACTCAACATATAATAAAAAAAATTTTATATTAAAAAATTACTAATTTGAATTTTAAAAATCAACTCCTTCTTCATCCGGAAAGACCATAATTTAATAATTTAATATTAATAAAAAAAACTAAAGCCAAGTCAATAAATGAAATTTTCAAAGAAAATTATGATATGATCCAATATTGGTCAGTTAATGATTTTATTCAAGTATTTTATTTCTCTATTGTATGTTGCAAATTAAAATAAATAAATAACTTATATAATTAATGAAAAAAATTACATAAAAAAAACGTTCTATCCCCTACAAATATACCCTCATTTTTTTCTATAGCCAAGTTTTTTTCTTTTTTATCTCTCTTCTAAATAAAATATTATTCTATTTAAAAATTTATTTTTTAAAAAACATATTCATTCAAATCATAAAATCATAAAGAAAAAAGAATATTAAAAAAGAGTATACTTTTTTCTTTTTATCTATCTCCTAAATAAAATATTTTAAATTATAATCAAAATAAAATATAAAATTTTAAAAATAAAATATAAAAATTTTCTACCCTTCATTTTTTTTCTTCTAGCCAAGTTTTTTTTCTTTCGTTCTCTCTTCTAAATAAAATATTTATTCTATTTCAAAAAAATTTATTTTTTTAAAAAAACAATATTCATTTCAAATCATACAAATTATAACAGAAAAAAGAGCGAATATTAAAAAAGAGTATACTTTTTTCTTGTTATCTAATTTTCTCCTAAATAAAATATCTTTTTAAATTATAATCAAAATAAAATATAAAATTTTAAAATAAAATATAAAAATTTCTCGAATATTTCAAATATCTCATTATCATATATATTCATTAAAAAATAAATTTAAAAAATATGAAACTTAAAATTTTGAGATTCTTAATTATCTATTTGTATTTATTTAAAGATAATTTTTATAAATTATATCCAATCAATTAATAAAATGTAATTATCTAATTGGTTATAACTAAGGTCATTTTAAGATAGTTCAAAACTCATTAAGGGCGAAAATCTCTTTATCCTCCTCTTCTCACATTTATATATATGGATATAGATATAGATAGATTTTTATTTTTTTATTAATTAGCTTTTTTTTTTTTTTTTTTTTTTTTTTTTTGAAAGAGAGCTATTACATTATTATTAATCTTCATACAAAATCATGTTTTAACATTATAAAATTTTAAAAGGATAAAATAATCAATACTTAATTTTGTATTAAAAATAATAATACAAAGTGGGAGTGAGGGAGAAATAATAAATTTTACTAAAACATTTTAATAAAATTCGGGATACCCTAAAATATAAATAATAATTATGACTTATCAAATTTTCTGAATTTTAGGGATTTTTTCTCAGTTTTTAAAAATTTTATATTTTATTTTTAAATACTACACACATAAAATATTTGAATAATTTATAAAGAAGTAGATAATTATGAGTTTCAAGTTTTTGAATTTCAAAGATTTTTTAGTTATTTTTTTAAATTCTATACTTTTAAATTTTTTTAATAGTGCACGCACATTAGAAATTTTAATATTTTTTAATTCACCTAATAAATATTTCAAAATTGTATCTAATAAATTTTAATAAATATTTATTTGTTCATTTAATTTATTCCATTTAGTTTATTTATTTTAAATTATTCAAAATATTTATATTTAATTTACTATATTATTTATAAATATGAGAATATTGGAAATAATAGGAATTTTCAATTGCGCTCTTAATAAAAGTTGAATATCCTAAAATAACCTTAGTTATGACCAATTAAAAAAATTATATTTTATAATTGATTGAATATAATTTGATAAATTTATTTTTTAAATAAATACATATAGATAACATTGCATTTTAAATTTTAAGTTTTATCTTTTTTTTTAAATTTTTATCTTTTTTTTTTAAATTTATATTTTAATAAATAGTATAATATATTATTATTAATTTTAAAATTTTTATTAGGAGAACAATAAAAAAAGGAAAAAATATATATTTTTATGATATTCTTTTTTCTTTATGTTTTGTATAAAATTTGATTGGTATATATTTTTAAAATTAAATCTTTCAATTAAAAATACTTATTTTAAGCCTTTTAAACTTTTAAATTTTTTACATGTAGAATTTATTTTTAAAATAACATATGTGTGTGGGGATAATAACAATTGAAATGTTTTATCTCTTTAAATATTAATATAATATTGTATTATTATTTTATTTATTATTCATTTACCTACAAGATTGTGACTCCAGTTGAGCAACGATGCTTGGACGTGTGAGAAGGAGCTCTCGGGACTCGCGTCTCACTTAAGCACACTTGCAGCTAAGTGTTGTAAATGGAGCCAGAGCCGGCTCGCAACTGTTCGAGCTCGGACTTGAAAAGATGGTTTTGAAAAAGCTTGAGCTCGGGATCGACGTTTCTGAGTCTCGACGCTCGGAGGCCATACTTCATTTTTAGAACAATAAGCTGAACTTTCACAACCTAATGATTATTCAGCCTCGAAGGGCTCATCAAAGCCTTATCGAGTTTTATACATAACATATATATAATATTATTTTGGTTACCTTCGCGCATTGAAGCCATCAGCCTTGAGTCCAGGATATATATTTTTAAAAATAAATTTTCAATTAAAATATACATTATTAAGCCTTTTAAAATTTTAAATTTTTACATTTTAGAATTTATTTTTAAAAATAACATATGTGTGTGGGATAATAACAATTGAAATTTTTACTTTTAAAAATATATATAATATTGTATTATTATTATTATTATTATTATTACCTACAAGTTGTGACTCAGTTGGCAACGCATGCTGGACGTGTGAGAAGAGCTCTCGGACTCGCTCTCACTAAGCACACTTGCAAGTAAGTGTGTAAATGAGCCGAGCCGGCTCGCAAACTGTTCGAGCTCGACTTGAAAAGAGTTTGAAAAAGCTTGGCTCGAATCGAGTTCGAGTTCGAGCTCGAGCCTACTCATTTAGAAAATAAGCTGAACTCAAACCTAATGATATTCAGCTCGAAAGCTCATCAAGCCTTATCGAGCTTTTATACATACATATATATAATATTATTTTAGGTTACTCGCGCATTGAGCATCAAGCCTTGAGTCCAGCTCGAGCTTCAAATTTTCTAAGTTGAACTTGAGCCTCAAGTCGAGCTCGAACCAAGCTCGAGCTTTCATCGAACCGAGCTTGAGCCTAAATATTTGAGTCTAGCTAAATTCTATCGAGCCGAGCTTTGAGACTGGCAAGTTCGAGCTCGACTAATCTCATTTACACCCCTACCTGCAGGGAAGGGCGAGGAGTATTAACTATGACTAAGCTCAGGCCGGAATAATCGGTCCCTGATCGACTATTCTAGTGGTTTACACTATATATCTATATATTTTGAAATGTATTTATTAGGTAATATTGATTGCATATGTACAGTTATAATGAATTTTAGATAAATAACGATATAAATTGAATCAAAATGTGTGTGTATACACACTGTTGTTTTATTAATTAATCATGATATTCACGCTAATCTCATATGAAATTTTATTTTAATATTATAAAAATCAAAACAATATAAGACAAAAATTATAATCAAAACAAGTATAAATATTAAGTAAAAGTGAGTAATGACATAAAAAATTTGACAAAATACAAATAAAGGGTATAGTCAACATGCAACACACGTCATGAAAAGATTAGTTATTCATAAAAATAAACACAGAAAAAAAATGTAAGTTTTATTTATTTATTTTTTTTTTTTTTTGCAACTCTTATTTTTTATTATTTTCTTTTCAAAAATAGTGTTAAGGTTTCTACCGTTAAAAAAGTGGCCAAATGGTTGAGATTGATTAGGCTAATTATATATAACAACGACGACGTTTTAATTTGCATATAAATGCAACAAATCAAAAATCAGAATCTCTTTTTTGTATTTCCGTTCTACATTTTGGTCATTTGGACCGTCTCAGTACTTCATATAATTAGCGTAAGTTGTGATTAGGATGTGCAAAGAGGGAATAGGGTTTTGTTGTAGACAAGAAGAAGCAGGAGATGGAAAATAATAATAATAATGGTGTTGGATCTTCTTCTTTGGATTTCACTGGATCATTGAAGCCATTTGTTGAAGCAGGAATAGCATCACTTCTCACAGAATTCTTCTGTAAGATGATGCCTCTTGGTGTTGACTGGGTCGTGGCATCAGGAGCTAAAAATGAGGAGCTCATGAAGCCACTGAATAGCCGTATAAATCTCAAGACTCAGCTCAAGGTATCCCTTTTACTTTTCCCATTTTAATTAATACCTCTTGGGTCAAGTATGACTAGACTATACATGTAATAATCTATATTCTGCTATTCTAAAGTTTTAATTTTGATTTGTTATTTATGATCAACATTCGTTGAATTTATTATTCATTTGTATGGTATTTTGAACAAATCTTATAGAGAATTCCGTTCCATTCTATCAATAGAAAGAAATGAAATCATTTCTAAAATGGGATGATTTAGCAAGAGATTTCTTTTTCTTTTTCTATTTCATGAGATCTACTATTGTAAACTCAATGTATCCTGGTGGGACTAGTCCAATTTGTAAGAGCTAGAGTCTTATTATTTATCAACTAATGTTTGATTGCTCTGTAAAGAAACTTATCCTTGATATGTATAAGCTAGAAACCAAGTTCTGTGTCTGTTTAGTTATTAACAGATTAGAATAGAAAAGAATAAAAATTTATAGCCTACCCCAACTTGTTTGGGATTAAAGTTTAGTTGTTCTTGTTGTTGTTGTCATCGTCTATATCTCATGGTAACCTGACTTTGAAATTTGATGGGACCAGCAAATTTTAATTTTAATCTATTCATTAGTATTAATTCTTTTTTCACTTGGGATATTTGAGGTATATATAGCCTTCAAATATAATTCAGTAATCCTTTTTTTTTTTTTTTGTCTTCTTTGTTTTGATTTAGCAAGAAAAAACAACTTATGTTCATTACAACAAGAAGAACCAAATGAATTATATAGACCCTTCAAATAGATGCTTCTCAACTTTGTAGCACCTTGGAAATAAGCAAAGCTACTAGTATAATAATTGAGTTTATTCAATTATTTCACAGATAACTCTATCTTCTGTTCCTTCTCAATTCTTTTTAGTCCTTCAATTTCCTATCATTCTTAACTAGTACTCAGCAGCATAGAAAATGAAACAATTCATGATCATATATGTTTCTTTTCACGATGCTTGATTATGATATCAAATTTGTACTTTGATGCACATGATATCTCATCATCACTCCCAATTAAATTGATCAGTAATTTAGCTGCAAGATGTGAGTTTATCTATTCAAGAATTCAGGATACTGATATGTGTATACACATGTTAATGAATACATCAATATCTTTATGCATGAGGGATCTATTGTTTGTTAAAATGCTACCTTTACTTCTATATTATCTGTATATTAGATGAAATTGTTAATTGTAACATCCTCTCACTTTTTAAATTAATGTCTGGCATTTGTTTTGCCCATGTTTAACATTTAATGGCTCTGATCTATACAGATTTATCGAGCTACTTGGCCAATTTGCTTTTCACTTGACACTATCACATTTGGATCATTTGAGTAAGTCCTCTTATATATGCGTATATACATATGAACACAATGAATGTCATTCTTATTGTAGCCTTTTCTGTGAAGGATAAGTAAAACTACAGGTTCTCTAATACTTGTATATATGGAGTTTGTTTTGGCTATATATTTTGTTTTTCTAGTGGTACAATGCGTTCATTGGCCTGAAACTTCTGGCTAAGCAAATTGGTAATGCCTTTGGTTTTGTTAGGAGTTTGACTAGAAAAGCAATTGATTCCAATGAAGGCAGACCACTTAGTTTCTACCAGGAAATTGGTTGCGGCCTGCTTGCTTCAACAATCGGGTTCTATGCAACTGCTCCATACATTTCAGCCAAAAAACTTATGTGGGCTGATTCAGGTCTACCAGTTGAAAAACGTGTTAATTACAGAAATATTTATGATGCTTTCCACCGAATTAGTACCAAGGAAGGGATTTCAGCATTATGGACAAGAAATACAAGCATGGCAATCCCATTTATACTGTCTAGAACTGCTATGTTTGCATCGTATCATCGAAGTCTTGGTTATTTTGAGGGCTTATATGGTTCAGATGGAACTAGAGCATGTTTTGGTAAGTATTCTTCTTCTTGGTAAAAAACTAGCTGTTTCTTTTCAGGCTACTTAATAGTATCATGTTGCATTGGAAATGAGTAACATTTTTTTAGTTTAATTAGTAGCAATTATCACATGCATAGCTAGACGATCTGCCTAAACCAGTATACACTTAGTTCACATCAGAACGCACATCTCGTCTTGTTAATTACTGAACAAGAAGTGATTGCCACCATTTTGAATTTTCTGAAATTCCGTTTTACTTCTTCCAAAATTTCTCTTTATCCCGTTGAGCAACGTGAACCTAGCATCTAGAATTTGCGTATATTAAGGAGCACCAATTGGTTCCATTGACCATAATCAATCAACTAATTCCCCTCGATCTAAATGAGTTCAGCACGTCACTAGGGATTGATGAATTCTTGGTTTCTAACCGAGAATTAAATCAAACCGACTCAAAACTGAGCTAATTTGGTTTGGTTCGGTTCGGTTAACTGAATGCTCACCACTCTAAGTCACTAGTAAAAATTGTCCCTGGTATAGCACAATGTGACTAACACTAGCGTAAACTTTTAATTCTTCAAGGCAGGGGTGGCCACAATTACAGAACCGCAGATTTCGATTCTGATTCCAAAAAATCTGGAGCCGGAAATTGACAGTTTCAATTACGGTTTGGAACCGAACAGTTACAATTTCCATTCCGGTTCCTTAACGGTTCGAAATCGACGGTTCCGGCCGGTTCTTCCATTGATTTTCCGGCGAATTGCATAATTATAAAATCAAAAATTAAAATTATGGAACATTTTTGTTGAAATTTAAATTTTAAATATTTATGAAATAATTTTTAGAAAAAACTTTAAGAAAAAATTAATAAAAAGACTAGACTTAATTTATTTATTTAAAAAAAAAAGCTTGAACTTAATTTATTTTTTTCAGAAAAAAGCTTGAACTTAATTATTTTTTTAAAAAGGAGATATTTACAGTAAATCTAAAAAATCAACTTCCACAAATACCCTTAAAACTAGTCGTTATATAATTGTGAGAAAGATTAATTTCAGGATTTCACAAAAATATTGGAACCGCCGTTTTGAACTCGGAACCGCTAGTTCTAACCGGTTGGAAAAATCGTCGGTTCATGATTCCTCAAAAATTGGAATCGGAACCGGACCGCAGACACCCAGTTTTGGTTCTAGTTTGGACCGGTTTCAATTCCGATTCCCATTGGTTCCCAACCGACAATTCCGGTTCCGAAAATCGGGAAATGGACACCCCTACTTGAAGGCATCATTTCACTATATTATTTTTGTTGTAATCTAATGTTCATTCATTTTTTGTATTTTGTTATTCTCTTGTGTTTGATTCACGATCTGTAGTAATTAAAGGCACAAGGCGCACTAAGGCGCAAAGGGCTGTTGGAGCCTAGGCGCTAGCCTCCAGGCGAAGTGAAGCGCAAAAAAAAATAATAAAATACATAAATCTGAAAAATATATTTTAAGATATCAATTAAAAAAAAGGAAAAAAAGTAGAAAACATAGAAAGCAACACACATAAATCAGGAAAAAATGGCAACATGACAAGTTATATTTTAAGATATTAAAGTTCAGGCAGAAAAGTGTATAATCAAAAAAATGACAAAAAGAAAAGAAATAGAAAGAAAATATAGGAAGAAAAATTGAAAGAGTTATATCTCGATGAACTAGGGCTAAAGACTAGATTGCAAGAGATGAGTGCTAGATGAAAGAGTGGAGGTTGGATCACAAAGCACATCACTGGTTTTTGTGTTGCATTTTATTTCTTTTATATTTATTTATTTATTTGTGTAAATTGACGTTGGCTAGATAGCCTTATATTGAAAAAAAAATCTTAGGTGACTTGTTCTGGAAAACAAAAAATAGAAAGGTGTGCCTTTCTTGAGCCTTAAAAAGGTGCACGTCTCTACCCAGAGGCAATAGCTGAGTGAAGTCACTCGCCTCAGGACTGTTGAGGCGCAAGCCCTTGAGCCTTAAGTAGGCGTGCCTTTAATAATGTATCTATTCATTCACTTCATGTATTGTTTAATTTACATTCTGTAATTATTCTTTGGACCATCCATAGATGATCCTACAAAAAATTTGCACGCAACATTTTCTTTAATATTACATGCACTAAAGGAGCAACTGTGTATCACAATTACAGTATGCATTAGAAAGATTGGAACATTTAAGTTTAAATGTTATTGTTTTGCTTCACTTCAGCCGCAGGTGCTGTGTCAGGGTTCTTTCAATCAATCTTCTTATTACCCCCTGTTAACGTTGGCATGCGAATGAGAACAATGAAACCAAATTCTCAAGGAAAATACCCGTACACAAGCTACTTGGACTGTCGCTTGAAAATATTGAAATTTGAAGGGCTATTCTCTCTTTATGGAGGATTTCTATGGTCAATTCCTGTTTCAACAATGCCAATTATGGTACTGTCTCTCTTTCTCCCCACTCTAGATGCACATACATATAAACGGCAAAATACATAGATTGCCCCGTTAACTTTCAAAAAAACAAACTACAGCATCCCCAATTTTGGGGGGACCAGTTCCGTATTTGGCTTATATATAAACTAATCTCCTCACAAAATTGGGGTGTCATACGATTTTTTTTTTTTTGTTTTGAAAGTTCAGGAGGCAATCTATGTATTTGGCCATATATAAACTCATGGAGGCAACAACATTATTTATTGTCTTGATGTATATGCAGATGATGTGGTGGAATTTAAAAGATATAAAAGAGTTTGAAGAGCATTTTTAAACAGGTAAAAAGGTGAGGTGTAGACTGAATTTGAGATTTAAATAACTTGTTTTAAGCCTGGGCTTGTTGTTTCATATCCTTCACAAGAAAAACTATGTAACTTTTAAACTATTGAGTAGGAATTCAAGATCTGCAAGCCAGGTTTCTATATTCTCTCAATCTAATATGGTTATAGTTTGTTTGTTTTTATTTTATTTTATTTTTATAATTATGGTTAGAAGTCTTAAAACGGGTTGACATGTCATATTCGATACGGATTCACCTAACATGCAATGCGATTAGAGTCAATACGAATATGACCCATTTAATAATCATATCAAATTTTTCGACACGAACACGATATGAAAATTAGGCAGTTGATACGAATACGGCATGTGTAATCCACCTAATATTATAAACAGATTAAGTAGGTTGTGTTGACCTATATGCAATCCATATAACCCGCTTAATATAGTAAACAAGTTAAGTGAGTTGTATGTACATGATCCACTTAACTTGATTATAATATTTTTAAATTTTAACCTACTTAACTCAAATCATAATGTATAAAATAATTTTTCATACAAAAAATGCATAGATTCATAAAGATTCATGATTAAAATAAAAAAATTAATACAATAATAAAATTTAAATGTGTTTAGTTAGAGTATTTATATTTGATACTAAATAAACGGGTTACTCATTTAACCTGGTGTCAATCCGTGATACAACATATTTATATTCATGTCATAAATGTAAATACTAATATTACAAAAAGGAAAAATTATAATCTTGTCCTTACAAAATGACAAAATTAACTACTCTGTCCCAAATTTTTTTTTTTTTTTAAATACACTGTTTTGTCTCCATAGTTTATCTGTATTTCCATCCAATGAATGTCATTTTGGACATTAAGTGGCTATGGAAAGACACTGAAGCCCTTGTATAAAAAGCCATTTTGGTCGTTAAGTGGCCATTTTTATTGCTAGGCAAGTCGGAGTCATTGGAAACAAACAAAGGGAGAGCAGGGTTCGACAACCACTACTTAGGAAGTCTGTTTGTGTTTGAAGCGTGTTAAAACTCCGAACTCCCTTCTTGCAGTCTCAAAAACACGATAAAGAGAGGTTATGCAACGGCGGTGAAATATCAACAATCTAGGACCACCTTCGTTCTCTCCTTGACCCTCCCAACAAATCCCAGCTCGTCGATCTTCTCTCTAGACTGTGCGACTTATCTCTCTTTGGGTTTATTTTCTTTTTCTGTATTCTATTGGTTGCCCAAAGTAAAATTTCAACTTAGAATTGTAGTTGCTTGGGTTTTGTTTATGATAGTTTAACTAAAGAATTTAAGCATTTAATAGCAGATGCATTTGGAGCTCTTCAATTTCTTGATAAGATTTGGTTTTTTTATTGGTTTGGATCCTTTATTTCTCTGCTCTGTGATTGTGTATGAGAGAGAGGGAAAGAGGGAGAGAGCGCTTTTGTAACGGAGGATGAACTAATGACATTTTGGACATTCTAAATGAACTAAGGACATTTTGGACAATAAAAAGGTTTCTCTCTCATATGACTATGATTTTCTCATTGACTAAGAGAATAAAATGCCAAAACTTAGATGAAAGGACATTTTAATTTAATGGAGATAAACTATGGGGTTAAAACAGTGTATTTATAAAAAATGTGGTCAGAGTAGTTAATTTAGGTATTCTATAGGGACAAGATTATAATTTTCCCATTAATAATATATTTTCAATTTCACTCTTATTTGTGTTAAATGCAATACTTATCTCTATAATTGTTTAAAGAATAATTTAGTTAAATTAATAAATATTTTGTTACTAAGAGAATTAATAATAATTGTTTATTTAATATCCTTAAGCAACTTCTATTTATGTACAAAGATGTATTATAGATCTACTCTAGAAATATCACAGCTCATAATAAAAATCAAAAACATAAACTGCATGATTTGACACCAATTCATGTAAAACCGATTGAGTCCAATCAAATTAATATAATTCAAGTAGGATCAGTTTATTAACAAATATTTTTAAAAATGAATTTGGTTCGACCGGTTAATTCACGAATCGGTAGTTGATGCAGTCTGATTTGACATCTAAACCGGATTGGGAAAAAAGTCGAATAAATCGGAAAAAAAACCAGAAATCGGCAGACCCAGATTAAACCGAGTTTTATGTTTATGCAACCTTATTTTTAATAAATACCCAAATTTCTAAATTTTTATTTGCTCTTTTTAGTTTGTCTCACCCCTTCTCTCTTCCTTTCCAAAATAAAATAATCTCTTGTCAAATATTTTCTCTTTCGTTCTCTCTTACTCCAAAATCAAAATCTCTCATTTATCAATCTCCTTTTCCATTATTCAAGCAAATATATAGTAATGTCTCTCATTTTAAGTCATGAATGGTCCAACGAATTTGAGGTATTTATTTTAGAACTTTTGATTTTATAAAATTTGGGGGTTTTTGATTGTTCTTTCAGATATTTTATTTACTGGGCTTTTTCATTTTATTGATTATTTTCTAATTTTGAAAATTGCCTTTAAGCGCCAAAATTGAATCTAACTCTTACTATATTTTTCTGATACTAGTTTTACTCTGTCTTCTCAGTCTTCTTTCTTCTTTTATCATTTTATTTTTATAAGTAAAAAAGGAGACTTTTTGATTACTTGCTTCGGAGTTTTGAGTGCAGATATTTGTTTTTTATTATTTAGACTCCGTTTATTTCTAGAAAATAACTTACCTTTAAAAAATATTTTTCAAGAAAAATATTTTTTTTGAAAAATATTTTTCAAATGACTTATTTTTCGAAAATTAGTTAAAAATATTAAAATTTTTAACTCTGATCCTGGTTTAAATGGTACCAGTTGCTACCGACCTTCCCCAATGTGAATATGCGAATTCTATGCCGAATCCAATTAAGTGGCTATGGAATAAGACTGGCGTGAAGCCCTTGTAATAAAGCCAATTTGGTCCCGTTACAGTAAGTGACGCATCGCCGGATATACTCTTTAAATTGTGGCTATGTGGCTAACACTGGGCCGCAGAGCCAACCCCCTAAGGCGAAATAGGCGCAAGGAAAGAGATAAGTCTAGACTGGTCCGCCGATAACAAAAAAAACTGAAAAACGCGCGAGTAGTGTCCCGTCGTCTCGAGAACATAAACCGTCAACTATCCTATAATATGCGAAGATTCAAATGCTTGTATTTGTTCCGTGGTGTTATAAGGAAATAACACTTCTTTTCACGAAGAGGAGCTATACTGCTCATTCTATGTTGCTCACTCTGTTCTCTAAAAAAATTCAAAACTCACTTTCAACCGTTTCTCTCAGAAAGAACAACGTCGTTAGTGCAATTATTCTCAGGGGGCCTGGTGTTGGAAATAGCTTATCTTCTACGCATAATATTCATTCGGGAACTCAGCATGAGTTTTCTTCTCCTGTGACTCATCACATCCTCCCCTTCTAATATCTCTAGCCTCGTCGAATCTTCCTCGTGCTCTTGACTGTGCGGAGCAAGTTAATACTCTCTTTATAGAGTTTTTTTTTTTACTTTTCTTCTTTCTGCATATAATCTCTCCGCCTATATATGGGTGTTGACCACAATATTACAATAGAATTTTTCAAAATCTTCGGGTAGATATTCTGCTATGTGCTTTGCTATTGGTTTGTGTTATAATAGACCTCGTTTAATCTAAAGAATTTAAGCCATTTGAGACTCAGAGCCAGATAGTGCATATTTTCTCTGTCATATTTCTTGATAAAGATTCTTGGCATATGTAATTATTAATAGTTGATCTCCCTCCTCGTTTATAGTGATAGTGTGTTCGCATATTCCTCAGATTACTCATATCTTTTCTCCATGTCCCTATCACATAGAGAATTAGTTGTAAATCGTGTGATTGTGTAGAGGAGGTTCGGTTAGATAAAGATCGGATGAGAAGAGGCCCTGCTCCTTCTTGAAAAATAACTGGCGCGAAATTGAACTAATGACATATTTTTCTATTATAAATGCAATATTCTTTCTAATTTACTTCTAATGTGGGAACATTTAGAGAGCCTACGCATACTCAAAGTAATGTTATCTCTCTCAATTTTTTCTTGATCTTGATATTACTTTTTTCTCATTCTGGCTTACAGAACGCGAGTCTTCATAATTATAAATGTCTCCTCTCAATATCTTCACGTTTCTTTCAGATAAAATAGAAAGGAAAACCATTTGATATAAATATTTTTCTCGATGAGAGGAGGTACAACAGTCCAATGGGAAGTTATAAATAACTCAGTTGTTAATAATTTATATTTTACTAAAATTATGATGGTCAGAGTTAGTTTAATATTATATTAATCTGTCAGAAGGATAATAGTACAGAATAAGATTTAGGAGAGACAATTGAGACTTAAATTTTCTCTCCTCTATCTCAAATATATATCTTAATTTTATCTCCATTTTTATATTAATATCACTCCTTCTTATTGTTGTTTAATAAACAAAATGCCTATTAAATAATAGAAAACTTTATAAATATGAACTTTATGTATCTCTATATATATCTTGTATTACACGTGATAATTATAACTATTTTATCGTATTAAAATTATTAATAAATGATCTCTCGTGTATTAGTATACTAATAGGAGATTGTGATATAATAGGTATTTTGAGATAAATTTATTTTTGGTACATGAGACCATATACTTGAAAAAGGGCCTGAAACTTCTTAATTAATGTATATGTTACTAATCATGATATATTACTTTAGAATTCTCTCTTTAAAGAATATATTCAACAGCTATCATAATAAAAATAATACAAAAACCATATAACTGCTCTATAATGATATTGTCCTACCAATTCATGTTAAAAACGATTGAGTCCAATCAATAATTTATAAAGGATTTAATTATACATAAAGTCTCAGTGACAAATTGATATCCTAGGATTTAATTTTAACCAAATAATTATATTAAGAATATTGTTAATATGTTGGGAGTGTTCTCTTCTATGCTATGTTTATACTTCTTTTTCTATATCGGTGGAAGGACAGGTGGTGAATTTTCAATCAGTAGAATCTTGGTGAATTTAGCCTTTGTAGAATGCAAGTTCATAGCTCTTATGAGGCATATCTAAAGCTCAGAGAGGAGATTTGTTGAGAAATACAGAACTAATTGACAGAATGTCTCTCGTCGAGA